AACGGCTGGACCTGCCTTTGCCAAAAACTAATCAGCACATCTCCCTATCAATAGGAATCGAATGTTTTTTAAACCATTCAAATCGGTTGATCCGTGCGCCCGAAAACGTGGACGAAAAAAAGCGGACATACAAACACACACACACACACACACACACACACACACACATCCATTTTTTCTGAAGTATGCCAAAATGTTCAAAAACCTTCAAAACGTCGAGAAATGTAAAAATTTTTGATTTCGATTTTTGGACGATTACTATAACTTACCCTACGGGAAGTTAAAAAACATTCGATTCGTATTGATAAGGAGACGTGCTGATTAGTTTTTGGCGAAGGCAGGTCTAGCCGTTCCGAAGATACGGGGCAAAAAGTGCCTAAAACGGTAACTCAGTTTTTAAGAGAACGGAGCGTCCGATTTAAATAATTCAAAAAACATTTTACTTGTATTGACAAGATGAAAAATCGATAAAATTTTCATAAAGGTAGGTCTAGCGGTTTCGGAGATATGGAGGAAAAAGTAAAAAAATTAGCCATTTGGCGGTCAAAAATAATCATTAGACATATGCACATCAAATTATCAGATATTTTATAGAGATTTTAATAATAAGTATACATTTTGTTAACATTCCTATGGGTTCCGTACCAATGCTTATGCGTTAGACAGCGACGCGGCGCTTACGCGCTTTATATTTTTTCCATATGCAGTTAAATCAGTACGATTGCTTTGAAAAAAAAGTTCAGATCTTCCACAATATGTCAAAATAAAGAAAAAAATATTTTTTTTCAAAAAAAAAAATTAAATTTTTTTTTCAAAAAAAAAATTAAAAAAAAAAAATTTTTTTTCAAAAAAGTAATTTTTTGTCCATATATATAATTTCTCAAAAATCTTATTTTTTCAAAGTACATTTTTTTCAAAAATGTTAATCGTTTTTAAAAAATTAATAATTTTTGGTACGGGAAGTTCCAGCAATATGCCTTAAGGCACGATGCCTTAATTACCTTAAGACAGAATTCCACTTACAGCTAGTTTAACTTTATTTTATATAAGTTCATTACAAAACGATACATTTCTTACTTGCCAGTATACTTTTTACTTTTTCGATATATTGAAGATGTTTATTCCGTTACTTTTCGACTTCTGAAATATAAAAAAACTAAAAAAACATTTAGCTTTTGTAAATGAAATTTTATATAAAGCAGTTATACCAACTTGCTTGAAGAAATGTTACAATAATCCAGTTGAAGTTAATTGTGTAATATGTTTGATTACGCAATTTAGTAATTTTAACTTTTGAAGCAAATCTTATCAGCGTGTTAAGGTTTGAGTCTTAGGGCTGCAGGAACTGCATTTTTCCTCCGTTTTTTCAACGTTCAACTATTTTATTCATGTTGTTCATATCATATATATATGTTATGCAGATTAGTAAAAATAAAGCAATATTGGCGATAGATACTGTTATGCAAGGTTTTTGCGCAAAAATAAACGAGGAAGCAATTGAAAACCTCCTCTCCGATATGCGAGAAATGAGTGCAAGGCGTCTTGCTAGTGGTTTATTGCAGTCATTCTAGAATGCACTTTAAATTTCATTTTCGATTATCCCGAACAAGAAAGGAAAGTGTAACAGACCCATGAAGCTTAATCTTTTGGATTTAAATTGCATAGAATAAGATCTATAAAGTTGAAACATGACCCATAGTACTGTTTATCCAAATCTACGAATCCAATGTATAACTAATTATATCAGAGAATTTGAATTCTGAATTCTTTCTTTCCCAACTGTTGGTGAGCAGTTTCATTATTGAAAACTAACTATAGCCGGAAGGCCTCTTCCGCGCGAAATTTTCTTCAAAGGAAATAATAAAATGTGAAAAGAAAGAAATGGACCTCCTGGTTCGTTCTATCGTTGAAAAAAGCTCAAGACTAGCATAAAACACAACTTTATGGCATCGTAAATTTTATTGGAAATTATGTTTAGGCGCGAATAGATATATAAAAATATTCCCAGCAACATTATTCTTACGAAATTAATACACGCATACGTGCATTGCATATGTGATGTATTTGTCTTGTAATTAAAGTGTACGAAATTTCAAGAAACAAATTTGTCTTTCTACGAAATGCCATATAATAAAAGATTTCCATTATTTCATTATTGGCGTCATTATTATTTTTATCAGATTTTTTATTACTCGGATTTAAATTATTCATAAACCTGCATTCGTATGCATTTTATGAAGACACATGACTATAATATGCATGTAAGTTATCACGCTAACCCGTACCCAGATTTCTGCATTATTCTTTCAAGACAAGATTGTTTAGAAATTGTGAGAACTGTTTCACGTTTTACTTCATATTTAATAAATATATTTCTATTGTAAGTTAATCACTTTGTGTTGTTCACTAATAATTATTTACAATTGCATGGGCCTAATTAAAAGTATTAATAAATCATATTTATTTTCATTGTTATTTATTCGATTCATTATTTTAATGGACATGTGATTTGTTATTGTATTAAGAGCAACGTGAAAGGAGATATGGGGAGCGGATTTATGTATACTTTATGTAAATACCTATGGAAATAATTTAATATTTATTTTTTGAGTAACATATTTCTATATTTTATGCCAGCAGAATTATACAGGGTGTCCCAGAAGAGATCACAACTGTCATGAACAAAATATCTCACCTAGTTTGAGAATTATGAGCTTTTAAGTGCAACCTAGAGCTTTGGTGAAAATGTGACCAGTTTTTGGTCATTGTGGTTAATTTTTATTAAATTTGTTCATTAAGCCATGACTCCATATTTGTAAATATCATTTCCAGGATCACAGTCAAAAATAATAACACAATTGCCCCAAGTTATTAAGAAGTAAGACTTTTTGTTGAACTATAAATTTAAAATTTTCAAAATAGATCAACTTTGAGAGGTCTCCTCTCAAGTCAATATTTTTTACTGTTGTTCTAGAAATATTATTTACGAATACAGACCCAAAGCTTGAATGAACCAAATTAATAAAAACCAACCACAATAACCGAAAAATGGTCACATTTTTACCGAAGCTTTAAGTTGCACTTGAAAGTTCATTCTTTTCAAATTTGGTGAAATTATTTTTTTCTGATTTTCTTCATGACAGTCGACTCGTGAATATGATTTCGCCTTGGCGTTGTATTCTGGGACTCTTTGTATATATTGCCCTGTCTCGCAGAATTTTAACAAGGTTCAAATAACAAATAATTTTCAATCCATTAGTCGAAATAATTAAATGTAAGTTCATGTAATAATTCTTACATTTCTCTCTCGCTCTCTGATCTCTTTGTGCAATCGCTATTTTAAATCGCGGAATTATATAACAACTAATTTATTATTTTACAATGAGCACGTAATCGTATGTATCACATATTCGTTTCATTAATTTAATTTAATTCTATTTTATTTTCTACTGTCATTGTGCTTTTGTTATGTTATGACAATCGCTTCCATGTTACTATGTGACGAATAGGTTTATTGTATAAAATAAATAAATTTTTATACTTATAAATAAAATATCACGACTTATATTTTAGTAACCGTACGTAACTGCTTTTAAGAACTTCCAATCGTTTCGTTATATTATTGCTGTTATTTTATTATTTTTTGCATTAAAATTACATACTAAACGATTCCAATGTATTAAGAATCTCCGTAAATATTAATTGACCGAATGAAAGCTAAAACACAGCTTGTAATGATGGGGTATAAATTTTCTTAAATGTGGCATGCAATTACATGTTCTTGGAGGTATTTATGAGCCGACAGCTAATTAGCGCTACATGCAGCTTCGATAAATAATTTATTGAAAGAAATAATGCATAATTGTATTAAGAATTTTTGCAATACCTGATATTTTTATAAAATTTAATGTAATGTAATGTAAAATCTTCAAGTGTCCATTACAACATTTACGCAGAGCATAAAATTATTTCCTACACTGAACATCATGCTCGAATAGACAAAAACTTGAGCAAAATCCGTCAAGTACAATCAGCTTATGAAAATAGTCCTTCATGGCACTGGTCAACGGCTATAATTACAATATTAATAATAATTGTGATGATGATGATAAGTATAATTCCAGCGATGATTATAGTGATACCGCCATTTGCGTTTTGTTGGCCTTTTTATTCACTTAACGTTTTTTAAGCCTGCATTTCTTTTGCGGTACGCCGCGGATTTCTCATGATGTTCATTAAGTAAAAGAATTATGATTTTTTTTTGAAATTTGGAATAGAGTAACAAATAGATTTTGTAACCATTAGTATCTTTTTTTATTAAGCAATTATTATTAAACAATCAGAAATTACAAAAAAAAAATCTATAAGCTAAATAAACATTTCTACAGTAAGTGTATGTCTTATGGTAAGAAAACAATCTGATGATTTCAAAATTATATTCTAACTCTACTCTTTTTTGGGTTATCTCGAACTTTTTTCTTCAGATAGTATATCATCATCTAATTTTCATTAGATAGTAGATGAACATGGATTTGTAGCGTACAAAGGTGATTTGCGAATGGCCCTTAACGATCGAGTTTTTTTTCGAAAAAAGTGATCTAAAAGAGCAGGTTTTTTTATTTCGGATTTTGAAAGCTTAAGTGATGTAATATATGTTTCTGATACGATTTTTCATTTCATTTTAATTTTTTTGTATAAAATTAGCAAAATGCATCGTAATATTGAATACCGTTTTGACGGTTTTCAATACCTTTATTGTTAACCACTTCTTATACAATATCAATCACTAATGGAAAATTTTGTTATTAACTTATTAATTTTAATACTATTTATTTATCTGAAAGAAATATAAAAAATAATTTAAAAAATAATCTAAAAAAATAAGAAAACTGAAGTAAATTGACATTTTGGTGTAATATATTTTTTATACTAATACATCTAAAGGCACAAAACATATAACAAGGTAAAATAAATAATTAGATTATAATAATAATAAAGAATTAATAATTTGTTTTTGTGTGGTAAATTTCGAAGCATTCCTCCAAACATAAGCCTACTTCACATTCGGCGCACCAGTATCGACTCTCTTTCCGGACACGTTTTCCGGAGTCGTCCCGCTTCGAACAGCAAACAGCACACCTTTTTGTAGGTCTGCTTTTACTACCCACCGCCGGTATAGTTTTTAGAAAATGACGTTCTGTCAATCTTAGCGGATTAGGGGTGTTGCTTGGCCGACCACCTTTTGCAGAAAAAATTCCAACACTATATTTTTCTATATATTCTTCTATTAGTTTTATTCTAAATTCAAGATGTGTCATGCTACCTCCTTTTTTTCTGTAGAGCACATATGCGTTGTATTCAGAGAGTTCCATGAGATGGAAAAACATTTTTTTATAATATTTTTTTCCTCTTTTTCTTGGAAGGGGATAACTCGACAAATGTTGATCGACGCGATCAACACCTCCCATCGTAAAATTATAATCAACACTCACTTTAGGTTTCATTTTTATGATGCCTCTCTTTTCTATTTCCACCTGATCTGCACCGTGTATTGTAGAAAGGAAGTACACATCCCTTTTGTCTTTCCATCTCATGGCCATCAATCTCTCCTTTCTAAAAGATCTTACGTATCCTGGATTCACTTTTTTTGGATTTTTTATATTAATTGGTAAACCTTTTCTATTAGATCTCACTGTTCCATATGCATCTGTTTTGAAAACCGATAACAATTTGAATAGTTCCACAGAACTATAAAAATTATCGATAGTGAGGCAGTATCCCTTATTTATCAATGGCTTCATCAAACTCATAACGATTTGAGATGATATTGGCAAATTTGGGAACTCACTATCGATAATTGTCCCTTTTCCCGTATATATCATCATAGACCATATATACCCAGTTTTCGATTCGCACAAGAAGTAACTTTTGATGCCAAATCTTGCACGTTTCATGGGCATATATTGTTTCCAGCTTAGTGCTCCTTTATACAACATTAGGCTTTCGTCAATTGTAATTTCCCTTTGAAGGGTATAAGCAGTTTTAAATTTTTATTCAGAAAATCATATACAGGCCAAATTTTATTCAGTTTCGGATAAGGATGTAAATCAGAATTATAGGTTTCATTATTCATAAAATGTAAATACTTTTTGATCAATTTGAACCGCCTATTGGACATTACTTTGGAAAAAAATGGAGTGGCAATAATAGGGTTTTTCGACCAATACATATTTTCATCTGGCTTGTATACGATACTCATATTTAACACTATTGCAAAAAATATTCGCATTTCTGCTGCTGTGACATTCCAATCCATTACAGCACCAGACGTTGAAGGCTCCGTTCTCTGTTCTTGTATAAAATATACATCTGTTTCTTCAACAATTTTTCCAACCAATTCGTCGTCAAAAAAATAATTAAAAAATTGCAGAGGTGTTGTTAGCAATGCAACATCTTCATTTATGGAAGAATTTCCCATGAATTCAAAAGGAGTTTGTGGCTGTGGAGTATTTGTACTTATATCAATTTCAGTCCAACCATCAAATTCAATTTCATCATCAAAGTCTAACTCTCTTTCAGATTCCAAACTAATAATCGTTGATGTAGAACTGCAGTCTGAACAATCTAAATCCATCTTCTCAAAATTATGATTTCTTGATAATAAAAAAATTATATTATATATTGGCACATAAATTTTAAGGATAAATTGAAATAATTGGGATTCATACTTACCAATTTCTGCGAAATAAAAGCAAATTTAACAAAATATAATTATAACAAAAGTACGTGTGATAGCTACGGAAGTTAAAATCAGAATATATAAATCCTTACCTAATTAGAGATAAAACCCTCGACAGTAATCATTGATTGATTCCCATTATAAATAAGACAATCTTATAACAATAACATGTTCCTTGATGGATATTTAGACATGCGTTTTTAAGAGTTCATTAATCATCCCAAAAGTCGTTAAAGTTTATTTTCTTATATATACAACTGATAATTCAACTGTTATTATCATATCTAAACTAAACATATCCAAATATATAGTCATCGTAGGCTTTTTATCGCATAACACTTAAACAAAAGTTTTGGCGAGCAGCGCTCGGGATAGCCCGGTACGGTACGCAAAGAGTGCGCGAGCAGTGCTCGTGCGTACCCGTTAAGTGGTTAAAATTACAGTTTGTGTCCTTTGGATACTATCAATTTTTATAATTAAACCACTTCTCATATTTCTCTCATCTCTCATCTATAATATTTTAAGGTATTCAGTTTCACTATCAACAATTTCACTATGCGAAGTTTCATCAACATCCCAAAAAGGAAAACCATAGGTTTCCTTGTAAGTTTGATGCATATTCCCAGAGATTAATACCTCATATGAAAATATTTTTATTGTTGCATTAAACGAAGTGGTATATAAACATATATTATTTAAAAAAAAACGATATTAAATTATGATTATCCAATCAAATAATTATTGTCCAATCTCGCTATTTATTATCCATTTTATGAAAGGTTGAGTTGAATATTAGTCATATGCGTGTTTTGTAGATTTTCTTCGAGGTAGCCGAAAGAAAGCCTTGAATCGTCGTCATACCATTCCACTCGCTTCTTTATGGTCCGTTGATTTTCGCCGTAGGCTTTATTTTAATAAGACTATAAAGTTACCAATTTTCTTGTCGGCATACAGAAAAATACAAGTTTTTATCTACGTACCACATTTAAATTGGAGTATTATATGACTTCGATAAATTGTAAAAAATTTAATAAAAATTAATCGCGGTGCTAAATGTGGATGTTTGTGATTACTCTATTTTATACTAGTAGTATTTCTGAGTTATTATTTAAAACTCTTGATTTTATTAATAAAGCTCTCTTCATGATGTGACGGATACTGTAATAAAATACTGTAATAAAATATGTTCTGCAATATCATAAATTACAATGCATAGACTCATTTCCTCGCACGAACATTATTTAACGAATGCAAACAACATCACGTAGATACCACATAGCGTTATCCAGACATCTCATCTCTATGTTTATTAATGTTTATTAAAAAGACACTTTGTTTTTATTTCATTGAAGGAATATTTCTAATCACATTCATGTTCAATGTATCGGAACGCGTGCCAATACTTTCATCATGCCAAGAATATTAAGTGGAAATATTCTTATCGTGTGGACCTGATCAAATTTGAAAGGAAAATGGATTGTTTAATATTGGGCAATAATGCCAGAAAGTATTCATTATGTATTATTATTTAAAATTTCAGATAGGAGTGGACCCTTGGGATATATTATTATAATGCATTTAGATTTTAATAAAGCACTGCTAATGGTAAATGCGATTCAATTTTATGGCCGCTGATAAATTGGACTAGTAATAGTTTGAAGTTTAGAAGGAGTTGGTAAAAGAAGTCGATAAACTGGGATTTTTTTGAGATAAACTGGCCTCTTTTTATTTTACTTAGTTTTATTTTACCGTTGCCTTGCCGTCTGTTTTTTCATAATTTAACAATTTTCAATTGACCTTAACTTCTTAATTTTTAATTGACCTTAAAATTTCAAATTAATTAATTAATTCTTAAGATTTCAAATCAATCTTATCACCATGCGAACTATCATCACAATCCCAAGCGAGAGTCTTTGAGTCTTTGAGGTCTTTTTTGTTAGTTGAAGATTTATGATGTATTAGATTGTGGCAACTAAAATGTAACTAAAATTCTTTTTGTTGTTGGATAGCGGACAATTCAACTGTTAACCTGTAAAAAAGTTTTTTTTGCTCCATTGGTTATTTTCCTTTCGGCATTCGTTGAAATGGTTGAGATGGATAGTCAAATTTGTCATATTTTGCTTTTTTGTTGCCCAATGATCTGGTCATCCAAATGAAGTCATCCAGATTTCAAAGTAATTGTTAACTTTCTCTCTTACCACCCACCTGAGTGATTGATTCTACATTGAACAATTAACAAAATTAAACAACGCAATTTGGCCACTCCAACATTATTGAAGCTCATTTGGGATGTTCTAATTAGCAGTACTACTTATTTAGTTGTTTATTTATGTTTTTATTGTGCTTAGTTTATTAGTTATGTCTTTTTTATTTGTTGTTATAATTCACAATTTATACTCATTTACCTCATAGATCATTTATATATAATCACAAAATTTAAATTTAATATATCAAAAATTGAAAAGGCTTACTACTGGGTAACCTTTTAGATCTAATGTTTAATATTTCATATATCATCAAAATTACTGAATGTCTTTCTTTTTGTAAAGCCAGATTGTAATTCAATAAAGAGAATAAAAAAAAACTGGGATGTTTTGCCACATCCACTATATAATCCTGACCTTACACCATCAGATTACTTCTAGTTTCGATCCTTACAGAACTTCTTGAATTTAAAAAAAAAACAATAATCATGATGGTGGCAAATTGTACCTAATTCGCTTTTCTGCTAATAAAAAATCAGAAGTTTATGAAATTGGGATAATGATGCTGTTTGAAAGATCACAAAATGTCAGTGATCAAAATGAATAATGCATTTCAGAATAAGGTTATTCAGTTTCATGAAAAAAATCCCTGACTTTTTAACCAAAATCCGCACTTACTTAGTTGCCAACCTAATAATGTTATTAAAATTTATGAACAACTAGGCTCATAGGTATTATTATCTAGGCTCATAAGTAAATTGAAATTTTTGGCAGATGACAGTTTTCATTTGATTTTAATGCCAAGCAATGCCTCATGTGAAACAATGACATGTGTTTTTTTGTAATTTTTTGCATTTGCAACTGTTGGCAAGTAGAATGCCGTTTAGGTTCTCTCCTGATGCAAACAATATTTGAATGT